TGAATGTTGTGGTTTTTTTTGGGGGTGGGGGGGGCAGGGGTTGAAGGGGGATACCCTGCATGGCTAGGAAAAGCTGATCCCAGAAGCTGCCAGGTTTTATACAAAAACGCTAGTGCCCCAGAAGTCCCTAAGCAATACAGGCTCTTGCCATTCCTCTTGGGTGCCCACTAGAGCTAAATGGTAACACCCTGTTACAGAAGACACCACACACCTTATATTCATGATATAAAGAAATCAAGCTGGAGTTTAGCTGGAACAGTCCTCCCTGCTAGCTAACTTTCACAGTCCCTGAAGGTGCTACACAGCTGCTGGGGGAGAAAAAGCAGCAATGGCCTTATTTATCTAGTTGTGAATCCTATGTTTTTGATTGCCCAGTTAAGCAGGATGTGCCCACTTATGAATAGCAGCCTACTCTTACGGTAGTAGCTAACTGCTCTCTGACTAGACTTAAGACTTCCTTCACAGGACAGAATATAAGCCTGGTACTGTAAACAGTCACAAAACTATGATGGGGGAAGATCATAGCCCTAGGGGAGAAATGAACTGACATAGCCTCAAGCTGCCTTCTAAATATTTATGCTTATATTCACAGAAAATTCAGCCTTAATCAAAGAAGCCTCCCTCAGGTGAACAGTGGTGAATCCATGGACTCACTCAGCACATGGCGATGAGAATAAGTGATAGATGAGTGCACAGCTCAAAACAACTTTAGCCTCCTCTCTAAGGTTGGGGAACATTGCAGTTAAGGGGAAGGAAAGGCTGTAAGAGTGGGAAAATAGGAAGAAAGCCTATGAAATGTCATCTTCTGAACAAAACACAACCACTACAATCAGGAATTCATGGCAGCTGGGCTGCCTGGACTAAGTCAAGGATGGACGAATCAACACTCAGGCTTGGAGGGAAAAGGAGCTCAGGCAGGCACACCACTAACTGCTGAACTATTTGCTACTAATAGATTTAGAGAGGGAAAACTGCCTTCATTTGTTATACCCACAGATGACCCAATGGATACCCCAAATTGTCACAGATGGCCCTGGTTAAACTAAATGGGTCACAAAATGAGCCTATGAAAGAGACTACTGTGTATATCTGTGGGGGAGGAGGGACTGATAGAGACAGCAGGAGATTAACAAAACAGTGGGAGAGGGTAATCAGAATACAGTGTGTGTGTGTGTGTGTGTGTGTGTGTAAAACTGTCAAACAACAAAAGTAATCAATAAAGATCCTTTGCTAACTATGATTTATGTGAGATTTTTCTAATTACCCTTTGATTTCACTTATAATCCAAGATCAATCAAAACAGAATACTTAAATGAAATGAGGAAGAAAATAAACCAAACCTTTCTTTGCATTCTTGATAGAGTTTTTCTCTTTTCCTTGAAAGTCATGAACTTTTTTGGTTTGTTAATGTCCTCTGTGTCTTTTTTCACTTCTACTTCCTTGATTCGCAGGCATAAAAATGTTTTTAGCATCTAATATTAGAAAACAAACAAACAGGCAGCTTAATACTTACACTATTCCCAAAGACTAGTAGAAAAGAGCTTACGCCAAATGTGTTGAACGTCTTGTTCTACCCTCTTCTGATAACCATACTCTGACATCTACCTACGAAAAGTACACTAGTGTTCGGCTGAAGATTCAAAACAGCTCATTCACAAATATAAGGGAAAAACAGTGTGTGCACTGGGTAACCGGGCCAGAAAGAGGTTTTGGGAAAGTATGGAAAAAGACAAATCAACACATTCTGACTAGCTGTACTCTACCAAGTTTTGCAATTAGTAGCGTCAGCATTTACCTGATCCTCACAATACAAAATAGTACCAAGAGAAGTTGCTGAGACTCTTCAGCAACTTTCATAGGACACAACCACAGGATTTGTATTCTTTCAACATTTCAACTTGCACATGTTTCAGATAACAGGACTAAAAGCATGGGAGGAAAAGGAATAACCAAAAGCATAAAGTGTGAAACAGATCTAAAGTTATCCTAGGTATTGGAAAGATAAACCAATTATTTTGTAGGAATTCTATGTGCTTATAAAATATTATTAGCCAATGAAAAACAACTACAAATAATTAAAGGATACAGTTTGTAGGGGACTGGGGAATCTAACTTATTCTAGCATCACTGAAAGTCAAAGTATTTCTCTATAGCTGAGTTTCACATTCAAGCCATATTATCTAATATCTTTTCTTTTAAGAGGACTGCTATTTATCATTTTGGTGGTGGAAAATAACATATTAAGTGAAGAAACTCAAGCCCAGAAAGAAAAGCACATATTCTCCCATTTGTGGATTTTTTTTTTCCCCAAGACAGGGTTTCTATGTGTAGACCAGGGTGGCCTTGAACTCACCGAAATCCATCTGCTTCTGTCTCCTGAGTGCTGGGCAGAATGAAAGGCTTGTACCACCATTGCCCAACTTAGTTTCTAATTTTTTTTTTATAACTATCTATGAGAGAGAGAGAGAGTAGACACCAGAAAACTAGGTTGGGCTCATGAGAGGGGAGGATAAAAACTTTTAGCAAAAAATTAGTCTTCATTTAAATCTCAGTAAATGTTACCTATGCTATATAAAAAACTTTAAAAGTTGTGATTATTGGATAAGCACCTAGCCATTTTGAGATTTTTAATCCCTGATAATGTTCTATTAGTAACTGCTGCTTCAAATTTACTTGCAGGCATGTTTCCTCTTCTGATTAGTGATGCTACTGAAATGTAGGTATGTTTTTACACACTGATATACACTTAACTATTTCTATTGAGTTTCTTTTCTGTTTTTGTCTGTTATCTTTCATTAGTTCTCACTGTATAAATTTAAATTTTCTAGTAAAGCACTATCTTTGAAAAAGTATACAGAGAAGCAAAACTTTATTAATTAAACATGTATATATGACTAGAAAAATGGCTCACTCAGTAAAGGGCCTGCCATGGAAGCTTGAGGACCTGAGTTCAGATCCCTGGTTCTCATATTAAAAAGTTGGGTGTGACAGTGTGCCCATAACCCAGTGCTGAAGGGACTACACAGAGACAGGTGTATCCCAAAACTCAGTGACCAGTCAAATCAATAAGCTTCAGATACAAGGTAAGGCCCTGTCTCAAAGAAATAAAAGTGGACAGCAATCAAAGAAAATACTCAAGTTCACCTGTGCCATCAGCAATCACACACCTACATGTGAGCCTGAACACATGCATGCAGAGACCCATGTTATTAAGTCAAATACCCCCTACACACACACACACACACACACACACACACACACACACACAGATAGAATAAAAACATGTGCAACGTAGGCAGCTTTACAGCTCACAAAGTAACAAAAGATTAAACAGTAACATTCAGTATTGGGCAGTCCGTTGGGAAATGACTCAAACCACTAATGACATCCTGAATGACACAATATTATTAGAAAACCATCTGGCAATCTCTCGGTTTTTTTTTAAATGTGATTACTACTGGATCCACTAACTCTATCCAAGAAGTCTAATTCATAGAATACTCACAATATAAAAACCCAATATGGACGGTGGCCTCCCCAACACTGACTGTTACCCGGAAAACCCTTGAGATGACTGGCTATTTACCCAGCAGGGTGCTGTATGTTCATGTGTGGGATGCTGAAGCTGACCACACAACATATCATTCTGCTGCAGAAAGTGTTCCTTCTAGAAGCCTATTTTTTAAGTTTTGAAACAGGATGCATATGTCTCTTTACAAATACATCTAGGAAGATATATACAACAAACTGTCAGCAATGCTTACATTTAATGGATGCATATTTTTAACTTTTCACCTTATGTAAGTCTGTAAATAAATTTCTTGAAACAACAAAAATTAAACTTCATAATTTAAAACAAACTTCAAGAAGAAAAGAAAGGCTTACCTCTGGCCTAACTTCATAATTTCTGCCCTTTACAAAACCAGAAATCACTTTAATTACACCAAGAGAAGCTTGGCCTAATTTATCTTGTTTAAAGAGTTTCTTTACTGCTTCACAACACATTTCAGATACCTGAAAAAGAAAGTGTTACAATAAAGTAGTATTGACAGTATGAATCAGGCATCCCTGCTGTTGGGGAACTGTTCTGTGCATTATGTTAAAAGCCTCCATGGAGAATCACTCAGTAAACTAACGCTCAAATCATTTTCTTACAGACAGTACATAATAACCTGATACTAACTTCGTACTAACAGCTTATAAAGAACTTAGGGGTAAGATGAAATACCCTAAGATGTATAATCGTCTCATAAGGACAAGAGCAATAAACCAGTTTTGGAGTAACTCACCAATTTTGACCCATCGTTCATCAAGGGGACAATCAGGACAATGATGTTGTTGTGAAAGTTAAAATGGGGCAGGGCCACCAGCAGCTCACACAGGCTTTTCACAGCCACTTCAGCCAACCCTTTGTAGGCCTTTAAGGATACCACATTGCTCTTCTTCAACTTCCTTTGCTTCCAGTCTAATTAAAACACAAATGCAGTTACTTTTATCACTGCTCAGAGACTGAAATGATTAGCTTTTGTTTAACAGTAAACATGTATTCCCACACTTTTACTAAACTATAAAATATTTTCATGGTCAGATCTGTGTAGAACATCTGTATCTTTATGGTTTCAGACAGAAGCTACAAGCTACATAAACAGGAAACTGTAAAATATAGGATTTTGATCTTGGAACCAAAAGAGGTGAGAGAGAGAAAGAGAGAGAGAGAGAGAGAGAGAGAGAGAGAGAGAGAGAGAGAGAGAATGAGAGAATGAGAGAGAAAGAGAAGACTGTAAATCATCTTACTAATCTTTCAAACTAGTTACATGCCAAGATGGTAATACAAAACCCACAAGTTGACACAGTGAGTAATGGACCTCAGTTCAACCTGTGGAATCCACAGGATGGAAGGAGAGAACTGCCTCCCACAAGTTGCCCTCTTGAAACTCACATTCCCACAATACCAAATATGCACCCACATGTATAGCCACAAACAAATATATGTCTTTAAAAAAAGCATTTTGGACTTCCTTTTTTGTTTTGTTTGGAGACAGTCTCTGTGTAATAGTCCTGGCTGTCCTAGAACTAAACTCAGAGATCCCCCAGCCTCTGTCTCCTGGGTACCGGGATTAAAGGTGTATGCCACCACCATCTGAAGAAATGGTAATTTGGACACACATATAACTTAGTATTAAAGTTAATTTCATTTTTAGTGAAGTTACATTGTATGTGCCAAATTGCTGTGTGCATGATGAACGACTGTGAGTTCACATCCATGTGCGTGACAAAGCCAGAGGTCAAAACCACATGTCATTTTCTGTCACCTTTCACCTTATTTTATGGAGAGAGAGAGAGAGAGAGAGAGAGAGAGAGAGAGAGAGAGAGAGAGAGTAAGTAGAGGGTCTGTGTGGTGCACAGGTGAGTACAGGTGTCCATATGCTCCAAAAGAGGGCATGAGATTCACTGGAGCTGGAGTTACAGGCAGTTGTGAGCAGCCTGGCGTGTGTCCTAAAAACCAAACTTATGTCTCCTGAGCCACCTCTCCAGGTTCTCCACATTAGTTTTTGAGACAAGGTCTCTATTGGTCCTGTCCTGGGGCTTGCCAATGGCCAGGTACCTCCAGGATCAAATCCTAGTATGTTCGAAGCAGATGCCAAAGCATAAAAACAGTACCCAAGCCTCCCATCTCTACTCTACCACTTTTTTTTGCCCCACTTGGGCCAAAAGGAGACTCAGCAGTACTGTCTCAGCTGATAACTAGGTGATCCTTGGTCCTAGCACTCAGGAAAGGAGTCCAGGGAGATGAACTAAGTAAGCATCTAGGTTTCTTCTCCATTCACCACCCAATTTTCACTATGCCCCTCTTTATTTGGAGAAGGATGTGCAAAGAGCTTATCATACTAGCCAAGCTTAAGTTTGTTTTTAAAACATGAACAACTATTTCAAAATACATCTTTTTGTCTACAGTTTTAAAATAATAAGAAATCTCAACTGTTCATTAATTCAGCACACATATGACTACTTATGAAGGACGATAGCATGCTGAGCATTTAGCTCAGCTGTAGTATGCTTGCCTAGTGTGCCTGAGTTCCTGCATTCAATCCCAACACTATAAAAAGGAAAGACAAAGAACTACAGAAATAATAAGGCTAACACTAACAGCTGATAAAGTATCTAAATACTTTGTCTATAAATTCAACTGCTTCTCATAATCCTACAAGGTAAATGATATTATTACTATTTATTGATTAAAAAAAAGCACGGAGCTGGGCGTTGGTGGCGCACGCCTTTAATCCCAGCACTGGGGAGGCAGAGGCAGGGGGATCTCAAGGCACAGGGAGTTCGAGGCCAGCCTGGTCTCCAGAGCGAGTGCCAGGATAGGCTCCAAAGCTACACAGAGAAACCCTGTCTCGAAAAACCAAAAAAAAAAAAAAAAAGTTTAATAAATACCTTTAACTATTTGCTCCAGATTTTCCAAATAAAATTTGTATTGGCTAACCAGGCCTTCTTCAAATTCTCTTAACTTCTGGGTTTCTTTACGAATCTGAAAAGACCAAATCAGAGTATTAACTTCAAAAGCTGGCAAGAAAACAAGTGCCTTACACTTTGGGTTGGTTCAAGAACAAAGATTACATAACAACAATAACCCTCTATTCTCCCACCTCTAGTCCTCTAAAAGTTCTGGATTATTTTATACAATAATTTTATCTAGTATCACCTTGGTAGATTTTTCTGCTTCAGTTAGAGGCCGGATTTTATATGAGGGAGTGATGTCCTTAAATAGCTCCATCAGTGAAATTATCACCAACTTCCGAACAGTGACAGCCACATCAGGGTCCTGCTCCATTAGCATGGAACGCAACTCTTTCAGTTTTTTAATCTGTTAAAGAAATGAATCATAAGACTACAAAAATGGTGGCAAAACATTTTAGAGCAATAGACAACAGCCCCGCATCTGACTTTGTAAGTGGAATTCACATAACAACTCACAGAGCCAAGCTGCATTAAATTACAATGGACACATCACTAAAGTCATAGGGAAATCATACTTTAGTTATATACGAAAGTACAAACTACTAAAAATAGGTGTGATGGTGTACATCTTTAATATCAGCACTCACTTGGTAGGCAGAAGCAGGTAGATTTCTGTGGGTTCCAGGCCAACCTGGTCTACAGGTTCTGAGTTTCAGAACAGCCAGACCTACACAGTGAGACTTGATCTCCAAATTAAACAAACAAATGAAGTTGAGCTAGCACGATGGCTCAGCAGGTAAAAGCACTTCCAGAGCATGCCTGAAGATTGTAATTTCTATCCCAGGAACCCTTGGGAGAGAATCAACTCCTAAAAGCTATGTTTGAACTGCACATATTCACCATGGTAAGTACACCATGTGCATACAAGTAATTATTTAGTAGGGCAGTGGTGGCACACACCTTTAATCCCAGTACTCAGAGGCAGGTCTCTACAGAGTGAGTTCCAAGATAGCTAGGGCTACACAGAGAAGCTCTGTCTCAAAAAACCAACCAACCAGACAAACAAAAATACTAAATCAATCAAGAATATAACCACTGGTTGTAGCTCAGTGGTAGAGAACTTGACCAGGATGCATGAGGGCCTATGTTCAATATCTGATAGTGGGGAAAAATATATATGCATATATATATGCCAAGTTATATTAATTTCAATAAGAGTTAAAGATAATTCACATGATGAAATATAAAAGTGTAAAGCTGGTGCTACCTTCAGCAGCATATATACTAAAACTGGAGAGTAGTCAGCAAAGATGTGAAGCAATCTTATTGAAAAAAATGAGTAAGAAGTTGGTTTCAATTAAAATGCTTACTCTGAATTATTACCATTGCTACTGGAGCAGAAGAGTGGGTGAAGAGCAGTACTTCAGCTTGCTAGCGATGCTTCCCAGAGCAAGGACAAATGTGCCTTCATCTTTTTGCTATCCTGAAATTGTGTGGCATAGGAATAAGCCTCTGGAGTAGAAGACCTGGACCTAATAAAGTGGCTATCAAAATGGGGAGGAGAGGTAATCACCTGAGTTATTTGGAGATGCTGGGAGTTGAACTGTGGCCTGGGCAGATACTCTGCTGCTCCACCACTGAGGCACCTCCAGTTCTCACTTAAGATTTCTGAGATTTTTTTGGACAGGTTCTCACTACATAGCCCTCGAAGGTCTAGAAATCACAAGAGATCTGCCCACCTCCACCTCCCAAATGCTGGGAAACGACATGTGCCACCATGCCCTGCTCTTACTTGAGTTTCTGAAGGCCCAGTTTTTCAGTAGGAAAATGACATAAAAAGACATTATGGAATCACATCATAAGATGTTGTCAGGCCAGTGAGAAGACTCACTGAGTAAAGGCATTTGCCATTCAGGCCTGATTACCTGAATTCAATCTCCAGAAACCCCTGAATGAACGTATTCATGAGAGCTGCTCACTGACTACAACGTGCACTATGTGACACACAACACACAGGTATACACAAGTCAAACAAATGATAATAAAATAAACCCTTTTATTTTATTTATTTATCTTTTGGTTGTTTTTTGTTTTGCTTTTTCTTCCAAGACAGGGTTTCTATGTAGTCCTGCCTGTCCTGGAACTTACTCTGTAGACTAGACATGAGCCATCTCTACCCAGCATAAACTCCTTTTAAAAACTGACACTTACTGCCAGGCAGAGGCAGCGCATGCCTTTAATCCCAGCACTTGGAAGGCAGAAGCAGGTGGACCTCTTAAGTTCAAGCGTGAGTTCCAGGACAGCCAGGGCTGTTACACAGAGAAACCCTGTCTCAAAAAACCAAAATAAACAAAACAAAACAAAAAACCTACCACATGCACATCTGGGTAACACTAATTAGATTTGATGGGTTATCAAAACAAACAACAAAAACAGTCAAAGCATGGTGGCATAAGATTTAAACCCAGCACTTCAGCGGCAAGCAGATCACTGAATTCCAGGCCAGTTTGGTCTGAAAAATTACTTCCAGGCCAGCTGGAGTGACATACTGAGATCCCGTTTCAAAAAAAAAAGATGGGAGAAGGATTTGTTGGGGTGATTTAGGGAGAAGTGGAAGGAAGAAATGGGGGGATGAACACGATCACAGTTCACTGTATACATTTATGAAATTCTCAAAAATAAATTAAATTTATTTCTAAATAATATCTCTATGGTTCTATGGTGATTAAATAAGAAAATAAGAGATGAGGCCAAGTAGTGGTGACGCACGCCTTTATTCCCAGCACTCGGGAGGCAGAGGCAGGCAGATCTCCGTGAGTTCGAGGCCAGCCTGGTCTACAAAGCTACACAGAGAAACCCTGTCTCAAAAACAAACAAAAAACCAAGAAAAGAGAGATGAAAAATATCCTAACTCCCCTCTCTGACTCGGTCCATATATTACCTTTTTTAAAAAAATAAAAAAATAGAAAAGACAAGTACTACTCGAAGTTTTCCTACATGACATTTTTTTTTTTTTTCTAAGTAACTGGGGCTAGAGAGATGGCAGACAAAACACATGACTGACAACCTGAGTTCAATCCCTGGAACCCTTGTAAAAAGGAGAGAAAAGTCCACAGAGTTGTTCTGACACCCATATTATTATGACACATCCCTCCCTCCACAACAGTAAATAATGTTCATGTATATAATCTAATTTATCATTCAATAAATAAATATTTGTCATACTTGGGTGCTGGGAAAATCAATATGACAAGAATGAAATCACTTAATATGACATTATGTTTATTCTCATTTAATTCTCACAACAAAGTGTTTAAATGCTGTCTTCTTGGGAAAAATTACTTAGCCCATCTCAAACAACACTTAGGGGAGCCAAGACTGAACCTCAGATTTCTTGAGTTTACATGTGATAAATATGGACACTTTTACCACTATACCCAAAACACACTGGTATTTTCTTCCCTGACTCTACTTCACTGGGAGCATTTCCTTCCTTCTTTATTGTTCTCTTTTCTTCCTTCCTCTCATTTTTCCCCCCTGCCTCCTTCTCTCCCTTCTTTGTTTTGTTTCTCTGGTTATTTGGGGACAAGATCTTACTTACAGGCTGACTGAATTAGTACCAATCCTCCTGCCTCAGCTTCCCAAGTGCTAAGGTTACAAGTGTACACAATCATGCCTTGTACAGTATTTTCTAATTACAGATATTCCTGAACTAATTCTACTGGCTTTTATACAGAATGTGCCTTATTAAAAACTCTATAAAGGTAGACATGATGGTACACACCTAACATCCCAAAAGTTAGGAAACTGAGGCAGGAACAAGTTTGAGGCCAGCCTGGGAAGACTTACAGAGAAAGCCAGGCAGTGCATGAATAAACACACGCACGCGCGCCAACACTCACCCTCTTTCCTCTCCCTCTGTCTCTCTCTCTCTCACTCTCTCCTCTAGCTCTTGACTGGTCAGGTAAATCTGCAAGAAGATCTTCCCTAATACAGTAACTTTTAGACACCTACCACCCTCAGAGTTGCCAAGGTTAAGTCCTCTATCTTTGTTTGCAAATGAGGAAAACAAACATCTAAGTAGCTTTTCTAAGCTCATGAAAGAAACTAGGCTGAGATGCAGGATGAAGCTAGGAGTCCATCTACTATTTTAGTCCATTCCAGCCTATGTTTAGTTAATTCCTTTCCATTTTGTGTACACTTAAAGGAAACTAGAGCTCTTTAACATATTGTGGATTATACAAAATTAATACCACTTACATTGCTTTCCGGATCTGATAGTATGGAAGATGCCAAGGTTGCAATCTGTATTTTCTTTTCCTGTAGTTTCTTCTTTCTCACAATTAAATGTTCTTCTATGGTGAGCTCTTGAATGGGGTTCTCAACGACCTCTGAAAGAAATTGAGTTTTTCTTCTTAAATATTCCTTTATTTACATAGATCTAACAAATGCATACTTTTCATATAAAATAGTATTAATGATGATAGTAAAAATCTGTGTTTATTGCTGTGCATCATTCTCTTCACAATCATGTAAAATAGGCACCACCATTCTATTATCGAACACGGTATGTGGCATTTTGTACGTGTAAAAACTACAGCAAAAGAAGTAGCTAGGCTAACTTCAAATTCAAAACCTAGCAGAAACAGACCCAAAGCCTGAGCTCAAATTTTTTGTTGTTGTTGTTTTTGTTGTTGTTTTTTTGAGACAGGGTTTCTCTGTGTGGCCCTGGCTGTCCTGGAACTCACTCTATAGACCAGACTGGCCTCTAACTCGAAGATTCACTGGCGTCTGCCTCCCAAGTGCTGGGATTAAAGATGTGTGCCATCACTACCTGGCCTAAGCGCAAATTCTTAAATATTATACGAAGAAGCCAATGACTTCATTAGCTAAAGAAACACTCTTGACTTAGCATTTTCTTAAGGCACAAAATACCATCCTTTTGTTTTCAACTCTATCCAGTGCTTTGAATTATACCTTAAGAGATTCATAGGAGCTGGGTGGTGGTAGCAGCACATGCCAGGCTGGCAGATCTCTGTGAGTTTAAGGCCAGCCTGATCTACAAAATGAGTTCCAGGACAGCCAGGGCTTTGTTACACCGAGAAATCCGGTTTCAAAAGAAAGGGTGGGAGAGGGAGGGAGAGAGATTCATAGGAAACTAGATAATAAACACAAGCATAGCCTGTGATGAGCTTCTGATAAATGATTGAAACCAGCTAAATATAACAGTTGATTTATAATCTCACATACATTTTTAATGAGGTCTGCTAAGTTAAAGCAAAATTTAACTAATAGTTTCAAATAATTTTTATTAGTTAAAGCCATTCTTCTGGGCATGGTAGCGCACATCTGTAATCCCGGCATTTGGCAGGCTAAGGCAGGACTGCCATGAGTTTAAGGTCATCCTGGGTTACACAGTAAGTTCCCAGTCAATCTGAGCATTTGAGACCTAGTCTAAAAATAAAAAGCAAGGGTGGGGAACAGAAGGAGCCTGCTGTCCATCCTCTGATCTCCACATGCACACATACATAATAAAAATATAATTTTAAAATCTTTAATAAGCAGCAAAAATTCATTTTAAATGTTAAAAACCCACATTTCAGTATCTGAAAAAGAGATATACTAAGCACAATTGTCCTTTTTTTAAAAAAAAAATTGTATATCACAAAATCAATTTTGTTGTTTTAAAAAGTAATCGTTTTTTTTCTAAGTAGGTCATTTTCTTATAATTAGAAGGATTCAAAACAGTAACAATTAAAATTCATGTTTACCTCACCAATGGAAAATGTAATTGCTCACATTTCCATAATAAACTGTGTCAAATTTCACAAGGTGAGACTTTCAAATGTAGAAAATGACCTTTAAAGGAGCAGTGCTCCATGATTCCCACTCTAGGTACACTGCCTAAAAGAACTACACTCATCCTGCAAGAAATCACTTCCTGATTAGTTGTCTATCAACTACAAAGAATGTCTGTCTCTTACCTTCCTCAACTTCCAGCTCTTCTTCATCCTCTTCTTCTTGCTGGATGTCCGTGACTATGGGACAGATTTACATATTAAAGTTGTGATAACATTAAGTGGTAAACAAAACAGAAGAAAGCAACTGGACAGTGGTTACCACAGAACTCAGCATAGCCAATCACCTCTGAGTGAGTAAGGGACCACCAACAAAGTTCCTAGAAGCTGGCAGAATTTAGCTTTTGCTTAGCTAGAGCTTCCTGAGTATATGCTTTGCTCTAAATCAGAATGGTGTCTTTGATTTTTGCCTTTTTCCATTATATTTCACAAACACGTTTTCAGTTATTTTTCTGTCTCTACCTCTGTGCCACCCCACTCTCTCTTGGAAGAGATAATCACCCAAACCTTGTATCTCTAGTCGCAGTTTCAATGCAACAGACACCCAAAAGAACTATCTATCCCCTGGCCAGAATCACTAAGTCTGCTATATGCTAACGGCAGCTACTCTTATTTAGTAGATAGGACTGAAAGCCAAACACTAAACTTTGAATGAAACAAAAATGTGTTCTAGCAGTAAAAACTAAGTAACTAGTAAGTCAGCCATTAGACTCACCTGGCTTCTCCCTCGTCTGTGGGATTATCCCACTTTTATCCTTGATGGGCAGCAAATGAATCAACTCCTTCTCTGGTGCAGTTTGCAGGGTTCTTGGCATTTTTTCATATTTATCTATCACACTCTCATGCTTTCGTTTCTTGATATGAACTGGCTCACTGCAGAAAAAAGTTCAATTTCAGTTTTAAAGGGTGCTCTTCTAGTTAGGTCTTTATTGCTGAGATAACACAATGACCAAAAGCAACCTGGGGAGGAAAGGGTCTGTTCCAGCTTATAATTGTAGTCCCTCATGCAGGGAGGAGTAGAAGGTATGGAGGAGCACTGCTTACTGGCGTGTTCAATTTTTCTGACAATACCCAGGACCACATGCCAAGAGATGGCACTGTGCACAATAGGCTGGCCCCTTCCACATCAAAACATAAATCAAGAAATGCCCCACAGGCTTGCCTGTAAGCCAGTGGTTCTCAACCTATGGGTCCCAACCTCTTTGGCAAAACTCTATCATCAAAAACATTTACACTATGATTCACAACAGTAGCAAAATTATAGTTATAAAGTAGCATCAAAAATAATTTTATGGTCGGGTGTCACTAATACATTTTCTATCCCCAATAACATGCTTCTCTCCATTGATAAGGTTAAGCCAGTCCCAGGGATGGAGACCGAAGAAGCAACCCACCCTAACTAAAGCAAGGAGATTATATAGGTTACAGGTGAGGGGTGATGATGTGTCTGCCACAAACTGGGTTTGTGCCCAAGTATGGTCAATAGCTGAAGACTTAAGGTAGGGACTTGGACAGCTGGAAACATCTGGGAAGAGAGCTGCAGTAGCCACCAAGAATGTGGAACTGGGCTTTTTTGATGCCTTCCCTCTGTTCAGGGACTCTGAGCTGGTGGAGTCTGGAGAGACAGGCATGGGGCTTTCTAGATCTAGCAGGAGTGAGCTGGAGGTCCCAAGCAGTTACCACATGAGGAACTGTATTAAAGGTTTGCAGCATTAGGAAGGTTGAGAATCACTGCTATAAGCCAATCTGATGGAACATATTTTCAAGTGAGGGTTCCTCTTCTCAGATTGCTCTAGCTTGTGTCAAACAAAAACAGACAAAAACAGAAACAATAACAAAACTAACCAGCACCAGTACCTAAAGGTCTATCATTCAGAAAATCTACTGTAAACCAAGCAAGATGATACATGCTCATAAACCCAGAATTCTGAAGGCTGAGGCAGGAGGGCCATCAGTTACAGTCCATCTTGGGCTACATAGTAAGAACACTAGTCTAGTACATACAGGGCCCTGGGTCTGATGCTCAGAACCACACTGGTAACATGTACAGATGTGAACAGTTATCATCCAGATGAAACATTACCTAGAAGAAAGATCTCTTGTGAGAAAAGATGCTTTTTGTCCCAAATCTTTCATCAGCTGTAAGTCATCGTCATCCATCATATCTAACGGAAGGGCTTGGTCTTCCTCGTCCTCCTCTTCCCTCTCCATCCCTTTAACTGTTCCACCAAAAAGAAAAAAAGTATTAAAAGTCTTCCTCCCCTCCCTCCAGTACTCCCAATGAAAGCACTAGTGACATGCTGGGTGGCAATTCTTTTCCATGTGGAGATACTCTGAATCCTGAAACCTGAAAATCAGTGTTTCCCTGTATACTGATCTGTGTCTCAGGGCACCTGAGAACCAACGGCTGAGTTCATTAGCACCTTCTCATCTCCACAGACTTCTGCTTCATTTCAGCTGCCCTCTCCAAAGGTCAGGTCCCAAGCCTTGGTCACAACCACCTGTCCTTCCGGCATCATTTGGTTCCTTCCAATGTTCTGCTTTCCTAACTACATATACAGACCTGTATGTCCTCCACCACTCGCTGTTCTGTACACTAGTGTGTCGCACTCTTACTCCCTTGCTTCGAATGCATGATGCACTTCAACCATTCTGTAACATCCTCAGCACTCTGCTTTCTACATTAAAGGTATTCATCATAACCCACAAGACCCCAACCTTACTCATATCATCCTAACTTCCTTCTCTGCTCGTGTGTGTGTGTGTGTGTGTGTGTGTGTGTGTGTGTGTATCAATATAAGGCCAGAAACCCAAGTACAGAAGATTCAACTGTGAACAAGATAATCTTAGTGTTTTCCCTAACGAAACTTAACGTTCCTACTAACAGTAAGACTGACAAACACTGCTATACAAACATGACACAGAATGAACCTCCGATCTACTTTAAAGGATACATTTCTCAAACCAAAAATTGGTGTATATTGTTGGCCAACTTTTTCTCTTCCGTTAAATATCTTTTTTTTTTCTATCATTATACTTCTAACTCTCTCACCTGACTCACTTCATCCAAGGACCTACCCTCCTACGATAGTAAAATGAGGCAAGGGGGAAAAACAAAAAAACCATCAATTTTCTTAAGATCAGATTTAACAGTGTTTGCATCCATCTTTTCCTTATACTCATCCGTCTCTCACTACTTCACTTAGATGCTAAGCTGTAAGAATGGAATTTTTCCTTTTACTTTTATTAAGGAACTGTTAGCACATTATGCTTTTCTTTCTTCTATTTTTTTCTTTCAGTTTTACAAGACAGGATTTCTCTGTGTAGCCCTGGCTGTCCTGGAACTCACTCTGTAGACCAGGCTGGCCATGCTAGCCATGTGGTCAATCTCCAATCTAGGAAAAATGAGTTGGTTGATTAGATACTTTGAGAGACCTCTTCTAAGTTTTACAACTTGAAAAGTGTCATATGCTGCCAGGCAGTGGTGGCACATGCCTTTAATTCCAACACTCAGGAGAAAGAAACTGGCAGATTTCTGAGTTCGAGGCCAGTCGGTTCTACAGAGTGAGCTCCAAGTCAGCCAGGGCTATACAGAGAAACCCTGTCTAGAAAAACAAAACTAAAGATATGGAACAGGAAGAACCTATTGACAACTTGGTGCAGAACACACCGATACAAAGCACTCTAGCCTTGGCTAACTCTCAGTGAATGGGCAGGTGACAGCCCTGACATATAGCTCACAATTTATTTACACAGCTACTCTGTGTGTCTCCCAAGTATGACATTTTCAGATCTGCTATCTGGACCAACTAAAAGCAGAAGCTAACTTTCTCACAGTGCATACTAACTTGAAATGTTTTCTCATATTGACTATGGTAAAGCATAAAGGAATTCTATCCTTACCTAGACTTACGAAGATCCCAACACAGGACAAACGGTTACCAGAAAACAAGTCACCTCCATGGAGAATACTTTAGAATAATTAAAGAGAACTAGGGTAAGCAAATGCTCTTATTACCTGGTCGTTTGCTCTTTGGGTCCTCCAATGGGAAGGGTTTTTTAGACACAGCATCTTTTACAGCTTGCCTTAGTTTCCTCTGCTCTTTTCGGTACTTCTTGATAGTACTTTGTTGTTTAAATTGCTTATTTTTTAGTTTGTTTTCAAGTTTCACTTTACTAGTTTTTATCAACTTTCGAAAGCTTGGGACCTGCTTTTTATTTCTTCTCTAGAAAACAAGAACAGAAGGAACACTGCAACTGAGAAGTTTAAATTATTTTTTTAATCAAGTTAAGGAAAATAGTTTACAAATTAAATTAGACCAATTCCACAAATGTTTCACAACCATGGATCCTGCATAAGAACTAAAACCATCATATGGCAGTAACTAATCCTACAGAATGGCACTGGAGCATCAGTTACTCAGCACAGGATTTTCCCGTGATCTGAATCTAGTCTCTCAATTGTGTAAAATCTGAAAAGAAAAACGTTATGAATCTCTTATCTTGAGGTAAATGGTTATTCAAGAGTAGCTTAACACTTGTACTGTAACACAATCAGAGCAAAAAAATGGCTACTTTTAACAATAACAACTGGCATTTACTTGGTGTTTTATTGTTTACAAAGCACACAAACTTCCCAACTACATATATATAATAATCCTCACATAACAGATGAAGAAGTGAAGGTTACAGAGGTCATGCAACTTGATGAAGATCCCTGACATAAGGGTAAACTGAATTATGCCCTTTGGATTCCATTTCTCTTGCTGGTAACTGCTTTATAATGCAAATCCCAAGACCACTTCTAAATCTCCCTCTCCATCTAGGAAAATCACCAGCCTTCCTGTCTCCTTTAAAGGGGAAACCGGTCCTCTCCGGATCCGGTGCCTCCTCAAGTTGGTTCACACAAGTCTGGACTTGCTTCTCATGTGTAGAAAAGGATTCTAGAGACAGTCTGGAAACACTCTTCAGCCTGGCACCCTCCAGATTGCTGACCCCACACCTGCTGCTCCCCGAGGCCGTGCTGGGGCGCGGCGGGAGAGGAAGCAAAGCCCCCGCTGGGACCCGCAGGGGATGCTGCAGAGAGCGGCCAGGAGCCCCAACGGGGCCGCCGCCCCCTGTAATCAGAGTGAACACCTACGGGAAAGACAAGCTAGGCAGAGACTGTCAACCCGAGAAGCCCTAAGTCACGGGGCCGAGGTCCCGAGGGCACTTACCGCCTTCATCCTTACGCCTTATACCACATATAAGACCCACCGGACGGGGAAAGGCGCCGGAGCCAGAGGAAGCAACACACGTGCCCAAAGCGCAGCCTTTCTCAGACAGGAAGCCGCTACACCTTTCTGCCGCCGGAAACGGGAGGCGGGACTTCCTTCTGCAGGCCGGGGCGCGCGCGCGCCCCCTGGCGGCTCTGGTTTCGTGCTCAGGCTTCGCAGGCTGCCCCGGCTGCGACTCGCTGAGGCGGGGTGCTGGTGGGCGAGCGGCTGGCCCAACTGGTGGACTAGGATAGGGTTCCGGCCCGGGTCCTTTGAAGTCCTGGGGAAGACAGAAGGCGAAGTCTTTTGGCCTTTTCCGTCGCCTGCATCTCGTGGCTCATTCTGTTGCGGGTATTCGACTTCCCGGCCTTCTAGAGGGCGGAGAGCATCTTATTAGATAAAGCTGCGCCCTGCACAGGCTCTGGGGTTTTGTTCCAAACGACGAATGATTTCTCACCACCTTCTACCAACCAAAAGTCCACGCTCCTTAGTTTAGAGGTGGCACAGGCCTTTAATCCCAGCCCTCTGGAGGCAGAGGCAGGCGGGTCTCTTGGAGTTGAGTGAAGACCCTGTCAAAAGAAAAAGTCTGTGGTTTTCTGTGGGATCGCTCTTGCCTTGGTTTTAACCATTATATGAGACAGTACTATATTAGTGAGGCTTTCAGAATTAGGATTCTGTTAACCTTTTGATAAAAATACCGTTGGCTATATAGTAATCATGACCAAATAGTTAATTCTTACAGGAAGTGATAGGCATTGCAAGAATATGTTTTTCAGGTACTTGTCTCCCAAAGACTTTGTCCTGCATTAAAAAAAGAAGAAGAAGGGGGAGGGGCTAGTGGCAGTGCATGCCTTTAATCCCTTTAATCCCAGCACAGGCAGAGAAAGAGGCAGAGGCAGAGGCAGGCAGATCTCTGGGAGTTCAAGGCCAGCTTGGTCTAAAAGCGAGTTCCAACACAGGGCTACTCAGAAAAACCCTATCTCCAAAAAACAAACAAACAAACAAAAAAGAAACAATGGACTAGAGAAATGGTGTGCTTGCTGCTCTTCCAGGAGACCGGAGATCTCTTCCCAGCTCCCACATGCATCTTCACCTCCAGCTCCAGGGGTTCTTCTGGGCGTCTCAGGCACCCACCCACACATATATAAAAATAAACATAAGAATGTTTAAAAAGAAAACCACCTAAAGCTGTTCCCTTTCCCTCCCTTCGTCCCCTACCACCGCCCCAACTAAAATCCTACCTATCATATGTCCTTTCTTCTAATCTACAATTGACTCAAGCATATCATTCTTGATCATAAACCTGACACAGTTGGCCTCACAGCCCTGAGCTGGCGAGATAAGTCAGAAGAGGCCCAGAGGACACTGAGGTCATGGACAGCGTGGCGGTCTTACAGAGCCTGAGACACTAGTCCTTGCTGCTTTCCACAGACAAATGCCTTCCGTCTGGCACCGTCTTTCTTCCTCCCTTCTAACTTCCTCTGTGTTCTCGCTCTCCTTCCACACCCTGTCTTGGAAACGGCAGAGCCTGTCCCAGTGTTGGATTACTTCATCACACAAATTGAAAACATAAGCCTGTGTTCTTACCAAGCGCCTGAGTTCCTTCCCGAACATAACAGTTACTCCCATTTCTCTGGCTTGTTCCAAAGATGAGGCATCGCCATTTCTATTCAAAACTAACTCCACATTTCTTTCTCTTCTGTCAACTATCCTCCCCCACCCTGCTTTTCGCTAATAGTTCCTTCCCCATTTGCTTATTTACATAGAGATCTTCCTTCTATCTGTGTGTATGTGTGATGTTTTCGCCTTTTAGTAACTATTTCGTCTTTCTCCTTTCAGGAAAAAAATTGTCATCCTGTGTCTCCACTTCCTCTTCTCTATTCGCATAACCAGCTCTGTGCCAGCTTTTGAAATTTTATTTTAGATTGTCTTATTTTCAATGTATGAGTGTTTTGCCTACATGTTTGTATATACACCGAATGTGTGACTGGTACAGAAGAAGCTGTCAAATCCCTTAGAACTGGAGTTATGGAGGGTTGTGAGCCACCAAGTGGGCTCTAGGAATTGAACCCTGGCCCTCTGCAAAAGCAACAAGTACTCCAGACCTTTAAGCTATTTCTCCAGCACCCGCACCCTCATGCTAGCTTTTTAAGGAACTGATTCTTATTCTTTGCCCATTTTATACTTAAGTTTATAATCAAGTAAAATCTTTGAGTCATTTTTAAACATTTGTTGCCATGTTACCTCTCTCCTGCCTTGAAATCAAGCAGCTTTTTGTTTGAAAGCAAATTTTTTAAAAAATGATTCCTGCCAACTTAATATAAGTAAGCTAAGATGAACCTAATCTAATTGACTGTTTGTTTTACAGACTGAGTTTCTCTATGTAGCCCTGGCCATCCTCACCTAGGCTGGTGTCAAACTCAGAGACCAACCAGCCTCTGCCTCCTGAGTGCTGGGATTAAAGGTGAGTGCCACCATCGCCCGGCCTCTAATTAACTTCTTGATCCTGTCCACTCCAGCTTGTCACCCATTCAGCTAACCCACTGTTAAGCCTAGTTTGTGCTTGACGTCTTCTTGGCTCCCTCTCAGCTTTTCTGGATACAGGCTGATGGGGATTGATGGACTATGTTAATAGCATTGCATGTGAGTCCTTTGGGGAGGTGTGTTCACCAGTTGGATCTTCCTGTGACATTCCCCTGCAGCTGGTTATAGGAAAGTAACCAAGAAGCTCCAAATTGTGGTTTTCTCCTAAGTGTATGCAGTGTTACAGTGTTACCCTCTTTAGCCTCATTGGGTCTCTTGGTTACATTTGCTGCTTCTCTCCAGCCTCTTCAATGAAGGAGATGTTCATTAATATGAATAGTGCAAGCAGGAGGTTTCCTATGAGTTCGAGGCCAACCTGGTGGGCTGACTGAGTTCCAGAGAGCCAGGGCAACAACACATAGAAACCCTGTAAGGGTGTGAGTATGTAGCTGAGGCTAGGGTCACAGATCTATAATCCCAGCTACTCAAGAATATAAGGCAGGATTGTCACAAGTTCAAGGTCAGCCTGTACAACTTAATGAGACCCTTCTCCAAAAGAAAATTTTAATACTTATTTTTTTTACTTGTGTGTGTATGTGTGTATGCCTCATGTCCGTGGGTGTCCATAGAGGCCAAAAGAGACTGTCAGATTCCCTGGGGTTGGAGTTACATACGAACCACCAGACTTAAGTGAATTCTATTCCTGTTGAAGAGCAGCAAACACTCTTAACCCCTAAGCCATACTTCAAGCCCATGTCTCAAAAACTTTTAAAGTAAAAAGAGAGTAAGGTATATAACTACCTTAGTTAGGGTTTCTATTGCTGTGAAGAGACATCATGACCATGGCAACACTTACAAAGAAAAAACATTTAATTGGGGTGGCTTACATTTTCAGAGATTTAGTTCATCACCATCATGGTGGTGTTGTTTTTACTCTTACACTTACTCTTTTGGCTCTTTTGGGGGTCCTGCTACGCAGCTCCCAAATCAATCACACACAGTGTCTTATTTTTTCTTATGAATGCCCAGCCTTTGCTTGGCTTGTTTCTTGCCAGCTTTTCTTAAAGTATTCCATCTAGCTTTTGCCTCTGGGCTTTTACCTTTACTTACTTCTACAATCTTACTTTCACTCTTAACTCTGTGGCTGGTTGTATAGCTGGGTGGATGGCCCCTAGTGTCCTCCTCTCCTTGTTCTATCGTTCCTTCTCCTTTCCTTTCAGATTTCTCCTTCTCTTTATTCTCTCTGCCTGCCAGCCCTACCCATCCTTTCTCCTGCCTCATTGTTGGTCATTCAGCTCTTTATTAGACCATCAGGTATTTTAGATAGACAAAGAATCACAGTTTCACAGAGTTAAACAAATACAACATAAAAAATACAACATACCGGGCATTGGTGGCACACACCTTTAATCCCAGCACTCGGGAGGCAGAGGCAGGAGGATCTCTGTGAGTTCGAGGCCAGCTTGGTCTACAAGAGCTAGTTCCAGGATAGTCTCCAAAGCCATGGAGAAACCCTGTCTCGAAAAACCAAAAAACCAAAAAACCAAAAACAAAAAAAAAAACCCACCACATCTTTACATCATTAAAACAAATGTATAAACAAATGTAACACGTCTTAAAGTCATATTCTACATCATCATGGTGTAACATGGTGGCATACAGGCAAACATAGTACTGGAGAAGGACCTGAGAGTCCATTATCTCGACCCTCAGGAGACAGGAAGTGGTTTGAGACACTAGGCATGGCTTGAGCATATAAGACCTCAAAGCTCACACCACAGTGATGCATTTCCTCCAACAAGGCCATGCCTACTCCAACAAAGCCACATATAAAAGTGCCACTCTCTATGAGCATATGGGGACCAGTTATATTCAAACTACTACAATAAATTATTGGTACTACACTTGCCTAATCCATGTAAGGCTGTAGGCTTAATCCTCAATCAAATGCACATACACGCACACATTAAAAAAACAAAAAACAAAGATGACCATGGTGGCAAACACTTTTAATTCCAGCACTCAGGAGGCAGAGATGGATGGATCTCTGTGAGTTCCAGGCCAACCTAGTCTATAGAGTGAGTTCCAGGACAGCCAGTGCTACACAGAGGAACCCTGTCTCAGAAAACAAACAAAAAGATGTTTTTCTTAAGGAATGAAATTATGTCATTTGCAGTAAAATGGTTGGAACTGGAAAGCATCATATTAAAATGAGGTATGCTTAAAAAAATACCACCTGTGGAATAGAATCGAAGACCCTGATATCAACCCACACACCTATGAACACCTAATTTTTGACAAAGAAGCTAAAAATATAAAATGGAAAAAAACAAAATATATTCAACAAATACTGCTGGTATAACTGGCTCTCAACATGTAGAAGAATGCAAATAGATCCATATCTGTCACCATGCACAAAACTCAAGTCCAACTGGATCAAAGACCTCAATATAAATCCATCCACACTAAACCTCATAGTAGAGAGTGTGTGAAATACATTTGAACACATAGGCACAGGAGACCACTACCTAAGTAGAAC